TACCTTCATCTCCATCACATTCATCGTCCGAGTTTTCATCTTCATCACTGCTCTCGTCTTCTTCTTCCTGTTGCGTAGGCGCGTCTGTTTGATTCTGTGTGATTTGGTCATGTGTCGTTTGCGTGCTTGGTCCAGCTACTGGTTGAATATTTTGTACAGAGCTACCACTGTTGTCCATAGGAACTGAAGTTATTTGTTGCTGGGTATTACTTGACATCATCATGGGCATACTGAGGCTCATGTTGTCCATCATACTCATATTCATATTATTCTGATGTTCGCTTACTTGTTGCATCACAGTACCATCTAACCTGTTCTCATTGTTCTGATCTGACTTTAGTCCATTCTAAAATTTAATAAAATAAAACAGACATAAGTTTCATATTTATTAAGAAATAAAAATTCAATAAATTAAACTTAATTTATTAATACTTTGTCTCCTAATTGAAATAATCCAACTTATATTTTTAATTATCTAACCATTATATCTCACGTAATATCTTTATGAAATTTATCAATTACTAATGCATATCAGAAAAGTTATAATATAAAATATATAAAAATATAAAATATAAAGTAACAAAACAAACTTACAATTATACAATATGCAAAATATTACATACTAGCTATCATCATCGCTAAGGAGTTAAGGTAAACATAGACAAAAGAAGAATCAAACAAATGATGCTCTAAAGATTTATATCATTTTTAAAGGTCCTCAAAATTTTCGAGATTGTACAGTATTGTACAAGGTGTGCATAAAATTTTTTGTAAGTTCGTCAAAAAAATTAAGTAAGAAATAAATTATATGAAACAGTAATTACCGGATTGAGAACATTATAACCCTGTTTGTCTTCCATATTCACTTCGCCTAGCCATTGGAGCAACTGTTTCTCAGCATTTGCTGTCGTATGCCAAAATTGATAACATAACTCTACTTTATACACGCAATCATCGCATATCTTCTTAGGTAATTTGTCTTCCCTGTTCACCTGTAATCATAAAAAGAAAATTCATGAGACATCACATCTCGTATACACTATAATATTTTAATTTGTGTATCAAAATTATATTTCAATATATTAAAATTACAAAGTTATTACATCTCGTATATTGTTAAAACTTAAATTCATTAATATAATGAATGTATATTAACGTAGATTTCAATATAATTATTTTCTGGGAATTGCCTCTCGGAAGCAACAAACACAAGAGACGCCATTAAACCGTAGACGATCAACGAGAAAATAATGGCAAATGTACGCGTAGCGTTTACTCCGTTTTCTGTCCGTACTTAAGCGAGATTGCAACTTAAATCGAGGGAAAAAATCAAAAATTATCAAATAAAATGAGGGAATATCGATCCATAAGAGATCGAGCTAGTCGAGCAAGCGTCGCCGTCACGCGTTTCGCGTAGGTCGGCGGCAAGATGTCGAAAACGACTTGAGAATTAATAGATTTCGCGATACGCGCAATTAAACATTCCCAATGGCTGTGTTTCTCGCGAGGACAGATATCAACTTCGTCGGTGTCGGTGCGCAACCGGAACGGAGGCCGTATTCTTATCAAACGGCATCCGTGCGAGGTAAAAAGCGCGGCAAAAGTCCATCAAGTAATTAGCGGTATCACAAAGACGACGAACGACGAGACAGGATTCGCACGTCCGCATAATATATAACGTCATATAGCGTGCCATCTCGACGGATCATAGAGCGACTGTTTCTCGTCAATGAAAATACGCCCAAGGAACGATGTGATTGAATTTCTATCGTGGAGGTCGATCTGTGATCCGTCCGCAAAGACTCGGCAAGATGGCGGATCGTCATAGCTGGGCCGAATGGCGTAGTTAGCTTCTTACCTTGACCGGCAAACAGGCGGTGATCTTGAGGAAAATCTGCCGCACGTCGCCCTCGCCCTCGAAAATCGGTACGGAGACGCGGTCCTTCACGAGACATAATCGGCACAGGTCCAAATAGTCGAGGGAGGACATTTTACCGCGTGAAACGCCAGCTTCGAAACACGCAAAGCCGCGCCCGTTAAAAGCGTACGCCGTTCGCTGCGAATCCGTACAGAGAGCTGAGAGGGGCCCCCGCGCGTCGTTCACTATGCGTCGCTTCTCAACCACACTTCGGCCGCGTCCGCCTCACTTCGGGCCTCCTCGACGTGCTTCGGCTACTGTCGACGCGCTTCGGCAGTTTCCGTGGCGATTCGACGGCCGCGTTCGCACTTCGCGTATCGATCAGCTTGACCGAAGCCAACCGCTTTCACACACGATAGTCCCCAGCGCCGAGAAGGTTCTTTCCTTGAAATATGATTCGTAAATCGATGCGGGATAACGATCCCATTTCTCTCTCGAAATTTCCAATCCCGAAAAATCAGGAGATTATCTCTTCCCTTCTTTTTTTCTCTTACTGCTCGCTTCAGTTGTCGAAATAGAGACGAAACTGAGATTCGAATCGCAATTCAAACAATATGTACGAAACCGGCAAAATTATTTTTTCCATAATTATTGCTCAAATTATTGCATAAATTGTTTCCCCGAGAAAAATTCTCTGGCTTCGTATAAATTCACGACGCCGATTGATTGATCGGGCACTGAGAAAAGGTCGCTCGGGTGCACGCTATGAAGTTTTCATGCTCAATTACTCCCACTTTAGTTAGATGCTCAACGACGCATGATCAAACCGTATAACGGCTATCAGCAAACAACAAAGAGACCGGTAGAGAAAATGTTGATATCTATTCATTGATTCATATACACCACTCTTTGTCTCTACTATGCGATGCATAATAAATTATGTATTGTGAATAGAATAGCATTTATTTAAGCATTCGTGGTGTGTGTGTGTGTGTGTGTGTGTGTGTGTGTGTGTGTGTGCGTGTGTGTGTGTGTGTGTGTGTGTGTGTGTGTGTGTGTATAGAGCATTTTTTACGTGAATGATTGCTATTCTATAATTTAACTTTAAATTACAAAAACATAGGCTACATTCGAGATTCGAGAAGTGCTTTATCAATGCTATTATGTTATTCTGGCTGCGTTCCATTGTACGGATAATGTACATAATATATTATGTTAGCCTTGTTTAACACATTATAAATAACAAGAATAAAATGATATCTCATGCGTATTGTGAGCGCAGTCTCTATCTTATATCATTCTGACGTAAAATAAAAATAGAATGAATAACGCTAAAAGCGTGCTTTCGAAATACAATCTTAGAAATAAGCCGAAATAAGATTAATGCAAGCGTATTTTAACACAAAAGCAGTTGATTTATCTGTGTTCAAAAAAAGATCAAGAAATACGCACGAACATAGCATATTATATAATATATATTATATAAATCTAAAAGTCGTAAAAAATATATTTTCTTATATCTTTTACTTTCTAAATTTTTTTTAGATTGGAATCTCACCCTAAAAAATGAAAATTGTGCAAGTCTTGAAAAATAGTGGCTCAATTTTGAAATTTTAAGAGTGACATTTCACTCTTCAGAGGCGATACCTGTTTTTCAGGAATTATGTTATCCTTGTTTAATATATTCGGTGAGCACCAAGGATAAAATAATATTAATTTAAATGATACTCGGGAAATCTGCAGCCCAGAATGAATTCATTCTAAAAATTTTGAAGAGATATTTCTTATTTTCAATATTTTTTGTAAGAAAGAAACCTTTTGTCTATAACATTTTATTTTTTTAAATATGAGTAAAAAAAATCCTCGCAAGAGGAAGGACTCCATAATGTTTACCTTCTCGATCGTTTGTATCGTTTAACGGTCTAAGATACCTTCTCGAAACGAATCTCTCTACACGAATAACGAATCTCTCTACACTCTTTGGAGCAGAATTTAAAAAGTAAATCTCACTCTTAAAAATTGAAAATTCTGCAATTCTTTTTTAAGATTGGCAAAATTTTGACTTTATATACAGTGAGATTCCATTCTAAAAATTTTAAAAAGATTCAATTGATTTTTTTCTAACAAGAATTATTTATAAATAGTACTGAATCGATTGATACAAAAATATATCGCTTAATCGTGATCCATTGTGAAACCGGCTTTACTCTGACGCAAAAGATATCAATGACCTCTTGCGTCCTTCCCTACATACGCTGCATTGATTGCGCTTTACTTTTTTATTGATGCTTGAAGAAAAACGATTT